GCCTTCTGTACCACTGGTCTCTCAACTGTATATCCAGACTCACCACGCCGAAATTATCTCATGTCTTACTGGTACTATTATTAATTTTTAGTTATTTCTCTCAGCCCTGCTTGGTGACTGTTAAACATTTGGCATGGGAATTGCCTAGTGGTTTTTGATTTGTTCACTTTTTAGGCCCATTGATTGGTGTGCCCTGGCTCATGATGGCTGTGGCTGCAGGGCCTGTTTTTGTTTTTGTTCTTTGTGTGTTGTCTTTATTGTTGTCTGTTTTGTGTGTATGCATCTCATACATCTCTTCTATGAAATTAGTACAGTCGTCTGCAATGTTTTCAGTTAGCCTGCTGCTAGAGACACAGTCTTTTTCTATTAGTGATGGTAGCCTGTCTCCACTAATTCCTGTCTTCAAAAATGGATCATTGTAAAGGTTTAAAAATTATACATCTTAACATCAGAAGTCTCTTGCCCAAAATTGACTTACTCCGTGCATGGGTGGTGCAGCATAATCTACACATTATAACGATATCTGAAACATGGCTCAGCAACAGAATTCAAGACAGTAAAATTAATCTTGCAAATTATGTATTTTATAGATCCGATAGGGGCTCCAGAGGCGGTGGCTTGGTTACATATGTTTCATCTAACTTAGTGTCTGAGTTCATTCTACCTGTAACTGAACCATTATACTTCGAAAACCTATTTGTTAAAATTAGTCTTCATCAAAATAAATATCTAACCATTGGAAATGTCTATAGACCCCCCTCTGTCCCCGTTGAGTCTTCCACCTGTTTAATTTCCACCATAAATTCTATTACCTGCAAAAATTAAATGATCATCTTAGGGGATTTTAATAAAAACTGGTTAGACAGGTCCTCTGCTAAAGACAGAAATAATTTTGAGAGTCTGCATATGACACAACTTATTAATGAACCTACCCGTAGCATTCCATCAACTCAGACCTTACTTGATTGGATCCTTGTCACGCACCCAGACAGATGTAATGCTGGTGTACTACCTGACTGCTTCAGTGACCACTCCATAATATTCTGTTTGGAAAATAAAAACTCCAAAACTGCCACCTAAACTAATTAAAATTAGACAAGATAAGAAACTTGACACAGAACAATTTATTAATGATGTATTAGGTATTAACTGGGATAGATATCAGCTGATCCCCAATGTTCAGGATGCTTGGGACTTTTTACACTCAGAGCTTACAAATGTCATAGATATACATGCTCCCTGGAAAATATCTAAGGTCAAAGGAAGACACCTACCTTGGATTAATTGTGATCTTATTAGTCTTTTTCGTCAGAGAGATAAGGCGTGGGCGAATTTCAGGATGTCCAGGTCAAATGCCAACTGGGAGGCCTATAGGCATTTAAGAAATCTCTCCAAGACCTTAACCCGCAATGCAAAATCTGATTATTATAGGAACTCTATCTCTAATAATTTCAAAGACCGTAAAAGGTTTTGGAGCAATATTAAAACAATTTTAATACAAATAATAAACATCATATTAACCAAATTAGAGATGGTAACACTATTATCCATGACTCTTGTGCTATTGCCCAGGTCTTCAGTCGGCATTTCTCCTCTGTTCTCTCTGGTCATATTCCTGATGAATCTCATTACAACCACTGTCATAATGAACTCTCTCGGCATATTAGTTTTTCCTTTAAGAAAATTACACCTACAGATGTCCTATCTGCTATGAAAGAGCTAAATTCAAGCAGTGGCACTGGTCTTGATGGGATTGAAGCCAGATATATTAAACTTGCTTCTCAGGTGCTTATGTTCCCACTCGCTGACCTTTTCAATCTGTCCTTATCTACCTGTGAGGTACCAGCTATCTGGAAGCAGGCATGCGTCACTCCTCTCTTTAAAGGCGGCGACAATCTCGATCCAAATAACTATAGACCCATATCCATCATCTGCTCTACTGTCAAAGTCTTTGAGAAAATCATTTTTAACCAGTTATTCCAACATTTTAAGACTAATAATATCCTATCCCCTTTTCAGTCTGGTTTTAGACCCAATCATTCAACTTCTACTGCTCTATTGAAATTTACCAATGATGTGTTCTCTGCTTGTGATGCCGGTAATCTCACAGGTGCCATCTTTCTCGATCTTACAAAAGCTTTTGATTTAGTTGATCATTATTTACTTCTTGACAAGTTGTATGCTGTGGGGTTATCCAAAAATGCATTATTATGGTTTAACTCTTACCTTCACAATAGAAAGCAGTGTGTTGTTCTTCAAGGTCATAAATCTGAATTTTATGTTCAGCAAAGAGGTGTCCCCCAAGGTTCGACCCTGGGTCCACTTTTATTTTCCATTTTTATTAACGATCTTCCGGCAGTCTGCTCCTACTCCTTTGTTCAATTATATGCAGACGACACAGTCATCTACAGCTCCAAACCCAACCTTCTACAAATTCATACAGCTCTTCAATCTGATTTCAGTACTGTACAGGACTGGCTCCTGTCTAATAAATTATTATTAAATAAAGCCAAATCTTTTACTATGGTTTTTGGCACAAAACAGAACATTACAGTAAAATCCAACAATTTAAACATAATATGTAAAGATGGCTCATCTCTGCATAAAGTTGATAAATTTAAATACCTAGGTCTGTGGCTGGATTGCGAGTTATCATTCAGAATACATATTGATTCTGTTCTTCATAAAGTGAACTATGGAATTAGTGTTCTGTATCGTTCTAGGAACTGTTTCACCCTCAACATCCGAAAGAAACTAGCCTCTCAACTCATTCTTCCTTTTTTTGATTATGCTGATGTTGTGTACATGAATGCCTCCAAGACTAATCTCCTGTCTCTTAATACAGCCTATAATAAGCTTTGTAGATTTGTTGTTGGTTGTCCCTTCACCACTCATCACTGTTCCATGTATAGTTCACTTAACTGGTCATCACTTGAAACAAGAAGACGTATTCACTGGTTTCAACTGATTTTTAAAGGCATACATTTTGACTATCCACATTAACTAAACCAATATCTAGTCCTGGGGCCTGTTTCACAAAACCAGGATAAGGGATTAAGCCGGGATATCTTGGTTATCCTGGATCAACTTATCCTTGATCCAGTTTCACAAAAGCAGGATAGGGGGAAGTGGGATATGTTTTGACATAAGTTACCATGGAGATTTATTCTGTGGAGCTAGCCTGCTCCAGACCAGGCTAAGTTCCAGGATTTATTTAATCTCATCCCTTATCTCAGTTAGCAGCTACCACAAATGGAAACTAATATTTATTCCACTTCACACTACACATTCTTATCACATTCAACGAGACCCACTGTCATTATTTAAACATTTGTGATCATTAATTGCAGTCATTTTAGATAAATGATTTTAGTAGAAAATTTAGTTAGACTATCTCTCTCATATATATATATATATATATATATATATACACTGTAAATAAATGATTAAAAAAATACACACCATACAGTAACATGATGACATGATGTTCCTTTATTGAATAGGATAAATCAAAGCAAGTAATCCATCAGTTCCTTTCAAAAGTGACGTCACACAGTGCTCTACAAGATAGAAAGCACTGAATCAAAGCATATTATTCATCACAAGAATAAATACACATTCTCAAAGGTCTGTATATAAAACACCCTGCATGTCTGCACACTGGAATAAATGCAGGACAAATCCATACTTAACAAATGAACAAATGTCAGGCCTGTATACGCACAGTACACAGCACAATAAGCCAAATTAATATAAAATAACACAAATTCCTCTGCTATTGCAGGCCATATTCAACTTAAATGTGCAGAATGCATTTTAACTGAAATAATTCAAAACGTATTGGTCCCTGATCAGCCGACCACTGTCGTCATCCGGGAAGATGGCCGGATTGTCCCGGTCCACATCTGATGGCACTCTGGGGGCCCTCTCCTTCCTCAGGCAGGCCACATTGTGGAGGACAGCACAGGCCACAGTAATATCGCATGCTCTGTCTCAGATGGTGCAGACACTGGAAGCGTGCCTTCAGGAGGCCAAAGGTCATCTCAATCCGAGCCCTTGTCCTGGCATTGGCATCGTTATATGCCCGCTGTGCTTCCTGAGGGTCTGCGTAGGGTGTGAGGCAAAAAGGCTCGCAGGCATAGCCTCTGTCCCCCAGCAGCACACCAGAGAATTCACCTGTGAATACAAAATGTCATCATCACAGCCTTATCAATAGAGGGACATTCTTGACATAGCCTTGATTTTAAAAGTGGTTATTAATTGAGGTCATGTGGCTCACCTTGTGACAGGCGCCAATAGACTGCAGAGGACCGAAAGATTCGTGAGTCATGGACTGAGCCAGGCCACTTTGCCACAACATTGCTGATCAGGTAGTCAGCATTGCAGACCATCTGAAATTATAAGATGTAGACTATTAAACCATTCAATGCACATCACAAGCAATGTACAATGTTCATTAATGTCATAAAGTCATGTTCACCTGAACATTAATGCTGTGAAAGGATTTCCTGTTCACAAAATCTCCCTTATGGGCACCTGAGGGGGATTTTATTCTGATATGGGTGCAGTCAAGTGCACCAATGACATTGGGGAAACCTGCAACACAAAGCAATAAGTATCCTACTATGACTTAACACTTGTCCTGTAATTTGTACTTACAGTACTCTTACCTGCAATCCTATAAAAATCCTCTTTGATGTCACTGAGTCTTCTGTGTCCAGGGAAGGAGATGAAGACACCTGATAGTGATTTGAGGGCTAGACAGACACTACGCACCACACGGCAAATTGTGGCCTTGGCCAGGTTTTCAGCATCCCCCACTGAGTACAGGAAGCCCCCACTTGCAAAGAAGCGCAAGGCCACACACACCATTTGCTCAACACTCAGCGCATGGCTCCGTGCTGTGTGGTGTTGGATCCTGGGACCCAGCAGTCTGCACAGATATCGGATGCCATCTGCAGAAAACCTATATCTTTCGTGTAGGTGGTCATCAGGGAAGGCCAATGGGTTCGCCCTGTCCCTGAAGACCCTCTCCCGCCTGAAGGCTCTCCTGAGCACAAGAGCTTCTCCATCCACAACCTCTTGCAGGAATGGACACGCCATTGTTTGAGCAGGAAGGAACACACCATTTTGGGCCTTCATATAGGCTATTGGATCGCTAGATTTAATGAGGAACACCTTTGCACTCTCACAAGCTACAAATGGTTATCTAATTATCAGGATACCTATTGCCTTAAAGAATAGATAATTGATTAAAATGCTCCCTGTTTGACCTTCACACTGCTCAACTTCTGCCATAAAGTGTTTTGATATCTGGGAAATAGCATTTCAGGTACATTATGTGCATTTCTTTTTGTCTTAATACAGCCAGTCTTTGGTGTGTGACTTCTAACCAATCAAAGCACTTGGGGCTACCATAGAGATGACACTAGGCATTATGTCAGACTGTGGAATACAATCTGCAATCCCACCTAACTGTGCACAAATTAAACAAGCAAACACCACAGAAGGTCTTTTGATCTTTTATTTAAGATTCTTCTTCTTGAAGCTGGGTGAGGAAAGGAGAATAATAATTAATAGATTGTCTGTGTTACAGTCAGCATACAGTGTACACTGAAGGTGAAACTCACCTCCCGCTCAAGTTTTTTTATTTCAAGGTTCAGTTTCCTCAGTTTCCTCCTTTTAATTTCGGACTCCACGGAGAGGTCTGCCATCTGTCTTCTTTTGTATTCAATGTCCATATCGGCCAGTTGTATTTGCCGTTTCAGATGTGTGGCATACAGCTGTCTGATAGCTTGTGAGTTCTGTAAACACATAATAATCAGCACAGCAGGAATTTTGCATGATGGGAATGTACTTCCATAAATACTCACTATGTTGCAAGGCTGGCTTTCATCCTGTAGAGCATCTGGGTCCTGTTACAGAAATGACATTTTGTGTGGGCTCCAGATGATGATGACTTCTCACCATTGTAGACTGAATGAGTACTTTCATTTGACATGATACCTCAAACCTTCTTGAATCAAGAGACACAGTCTCCTCATCGACTTCATCTGCTGCTCCTGCTGCTCCACTGGTGCCTTCACCCTATCACATTTAAAAGGGATTCATATTAAAGCAAGCAGATGAGACATGCCAGGCTTACAGTATGACTTTGATGGAGGACTCACTGGATCATCATCCTCTGGTATTGGTGACGCCACTGTTGGAGGCTCCAACAGTGAGATGGTGTTTCCAGATACTGCAAGGTAAAACAGAGTCAGATAGTCCAAATGGATTCAATATGAATGGTTGGTTATGTCCCATGTAAAGATGGAAGAATGTACCTTTAATGAAGAGGGAGGCATCTTCCTGGGAGGGATTTATATTTGAGTCTGTCCCCCCAGGGATCCCCTCTAACACAGGCCTGCCTCTGTTAAGTTCCAGGGCTCTGTCCTCTGCAGGGGTGAGGTCAGCTGGTGGTCACCCACCACCCGTGCCTTGCTTGTGGGTTTTTTTTTAACAGCTATAAGTACAGACAATATGTGAGTAGGCACCCTCTGGGTACAATGTACGCACGTGCATAGTATTTGTCAGGTCACTTACCATTCTGCAGGATGTTCTTATATTTGATCTTGACTTGTTGCCAAGTTCGTTTGGGCCCAGTCATGTTTAATCTAAGAATAATAAATTAATTAAGACAAAATAAATAACACACACACACACACATAGATAGTGAATGAAATAACTGAGGAGCAAATATGTAGTTGCATTTACATAATTTCACATCTACAGTCCATTTCACTCGCAGTTTCATAATCAGAGTATAACTACGTTTTTGGGAATGTTAATTAACTATTTGGATTGTAATTGTGATGGATTCAGCAGGGTAGTGAGTGTGTGTTTGTGCAATACATACGCATTCAGGCGGTCTGCAATACTTTGCCATGCTTTCTCTCTTTGTTTGATGGCGGTGGCAGTGTTTCCTTTCTTTTTAATTTGTTCTTTTACCTCTTCGTAGGCCTCCATAATTATGTCCTGCTCCGATGGGGAGAAGTATGCTGCACGTGATGCCATGGTGAATCAGTGAATCTGTGATCAATTACAGGGTCTATTTAAGGAGCCATGTGCTGCAACTTATCCAGGATTAGTTTCACCTGGCTTGATGAATCCGTGTCTACTTATCCTGGCTTGGCGTTTGTGGAACCAATTAAGCCTGAACTCTGTTGTTTTGGATTGGTTGAGCCAGGCTTACTTACTTATCCTGGATGTCTGAATCCTACTTTTGTGAAACGGACCCCAGTATTCATCAAGATATCAACTTAGACTTTCAGCACAATTGGAACGAGAGCTTTTAGATTTATGGCCCCATCACACTGGAATAACTTACCACCACATATTCGTTCCCTGACATCCTTTCACATGTTCAAAAGCAGTTTGTCTTCTTATTTTAAGTTGAACTGCACATGCCTCAGGTGATGTATATTATTTATTTCTTTTTATTTATTTATTTATTTTTTTTAAATAATCTCTGTTTTACATTTTACGATTCATTATCTTGGAAATGTAATGGCATTCCACTCGCTTTGCTTTTTTTTTCTCTCTCTCTTTCTCTTTTCTTAGGCTACTCTATTATAGTTATCTGTGCACTTATTTCTCCAATGTGCTATTGTGACTTGTTTTACTTGTTGTGTGTTACCTGTATTGTTGGGTGTTATCCTTGTATTGCCCTGTCTTTAGTGTAACTGGCCTGTTTTGGGCGCTTATTTGTGAAATGTTTCTTGTATTGTTTTGTAATTTCATTTGTTTTTCATTGTTGTATCGGACCCCCTTGAAAACGAGATGATGCATCTCAAGGGGTTTATCCTTAATAAACTTTGAACAACAAATGTACCACTGAGCGCCACAGGAAATCATTCCTGCCATCAAACTGTACAACTCCTCCCTCTGAGTGGCCCTGAGACTATTTCACCCACTGTCAACATGTGCAATAATTTAATTTAACTTGTGCAATAACTCCATTTCACCCTGACTGTATATATTCTGTGTATTAGCTATTTAGGATCTTGTTTAGGTTACAGTATATATATTTATTTATTAATTTATTTTTTATTTTTTGTTAATAATCTTGTTACATTTCATAGATTCTCACTTATCTTTCTGCTCTTGTAAGGAGCACCTGTGACGCAAGCAATTTCCCGTCTGGGATCAATAAAGTATTTCTGATTCTGATTCTGATAACTCTCGTTCTGTGATGCAGATAATGTGTGTATATTTTATTCTGGAGGAAATTCAGACTCTTACTTTGAAAACAAACTGCTTCTTGTTTCCTGCTTCCTCAGCTGTTGGAGTATGATGACGTCAACAACACCGCTGACCCGACCTCTGACCTTTTCCCTCCGTATGAGCTGCAGAACTTCACCTGGTCTCCTCTCAACCTGTCGGGTCCGACTGCTGTGCTCTGTGGAGCCGCCACCGCCTTCACCGCTGGATCGCTCTGCCTGCAGGTCAGTCACCTGTCATTGCCATGGTGACGCCAGGGTCACCCTACTGTTTACGTTTATTATTCAGCGTTAATTTCTTCTTCTTTGTTTTTGTTTTCCAGCTGTCGGTGTTTGAGTCAGATGGGCGTGGTCAGTCATGGCCTCGCCTCCTCCACACAGCTAACTCCTCCCAGTTGTGGGTGTGGCTTGATGGCGTGTTGCCACGAGCGAGTCATTCCAGGTTCCTGTTGGAGCTGCAGGCGGTGGGCAGGGCTTATCCTCCGAGCAGAGTGGAGGTTCATCGATCGATTGATGATGAGTTCACGCCGTCAATATTCAAGGTCAATATTCTCCACCTGTTAACCATGGTGACCTTTGACCTCCCCACCTGTTGACCATGGTGACCTTTGACCTCCCCACCTGTCAATCATGGTGACCTTTGACTTCCCCACCTGTTACCCATGGTGACCTTTGAACTCCCTACCTTTTGACCATGGTGACCTTTGACCTCTCCACCTGTTACCCTTGGTGAACTTTGACCTCTCCACCTGTCAACCATTGTGACCTTTGACCTCTCCACCTGTTGACCGTGGTGACCTTTGACCTCTCCACCTCTTAACCATGGTGATCTTTGCCCTCTCAGGTGTCTCAGTGGGTGTCCTCAGTGAACAGCAGCTCAGAAGTTCTGGGGTTCCTTCAGTGGAAGCCGGTAGCGTACCGGCGGCCCCACCCGGCTCTGGAGGACGCCACGCCTTGCCGTCACTCTGACCCGCGGCCTCAGAGCAGCGAGGGGACAGCGGCAGCGTCCGGTCTGATCCGAGCGTTCTACACAGAACCACAAACGTTTGGACTCAACATGAGCTTCGGCCTCGCAGGAGACCCGTTCTACAACAGCACCAACTTCCTGCGCTGGTCCGAGTTTATTTTATCATAACGATTTTATTTGTACAAATTTTGATGATCATAATGAATGTTTCTTCTTTGTGCGTTTCTTCCCGCAGGACGGTGTTGGTCGGCACCGGCTCTCCTCCTGTCGACTCCTTCTCCCCGATGGTTCTTGCCATTATGGCAGCCGGTCTGGGAACTCCCATGATCCTCCTGCTGGTGGGCGGAGTCTTCGTCTGCATCCGAAAGAGGTTGACGGCCTCTGCGACAGCCTATGAGCCGATCAACTGATGGTTGCGGCAGGTGAAAAGATGACAGAGACGTTTTTAAAAACTCACTGTGTGGACATACGGACAGGTGACACCACAGTCCAGCCAGCCAATCAGGACACAGGATAATTGTTTTAACCTTTTGATCTCTTCCTGTTTTTAACGGGACGTCCGTCAGAAATTTGTTTGATGTTTTTTAAATAAAAATTAGAACTGATGATCTTAAATGTGGATATGATGGTTTTTTATTGTCAATAAATCTCCAGTCTCACTTCTTGTCTCACTTCTTGTCTGTGTCTCTCGTCTCCTTTGAAGATGTTTTAGCAGGAGTGAAACATTTGTGTCGAGTTTCAGAAACACGAAGTTGGTAGAAGGACTGAGTTTGGAAACAGGAAGTGCATCTTTAACCTGTTTGACAAACAGGAAGTGAAATCAGTGAATTCAATAAGTGCAGGTACAGTGAGATCTCTTTCGATGTCAAAAGAGTTGTTTGTTTTTCTACGTGAACACATGTTTTGACATACTCATTACTTTTTCCACATATGACGTTTTGCGTCGACTTATTTCGATATACTCTGACATTTTCGACATACGTATTAACATTTTTCGACATACTATCCAATGACGTTTTTTGAGATACGATGATTTTTTCCACATAATGTACTGACATTTTCCGACATTTTATACTAACTTTTTTTGACATACTGCACTATGAAGTTATTTCACAAACTATAGTATGACTTTTTTGACATACTATGACGTTTTCGACATACCTTGAGGCTTTTTTCAATGTATTATGACTTTACCGATATACTGTATTATCACTTTTTCCGACATACTATCCAGTGACGTTTTTCAACATACTGTGTTAAGACTTTTCGACAACTATGACTTTTTCGACATACTGTACTATGACTTTTTTTTACGTACTGTAGTGACTTTTTTTGACATACTTTATTATGACTTTCGACATGATTTACTATGCCGTTTTTATTACTTTTTTCGACATGACGTTTTTCGACATACCGTATTATGACTTTTTCAACATACTGTACTATGAAGTTTTTTTGACATCTATTATAACGTTTTTCGACATTCTGTACTGACATTTTTTGATGTACTGTAGTGACTTTTTTGACATAATATACTATGACGTTTTTCGACGTACTGTCTTATTACTATTTGTCGACATAAGACGTTTTTCAACATACTGTGTTATGACATTTTTCGACATATTTTATGACTTTTCAACATACTGTGTTTTGGCTTTTTACGACATACTATACTGACGTTTTTCAACATTCTTTATTATGACATTTTTCGACAAACTAGACTATGACCTTTTTCGACATACTATACTATTACGTTTTTCGACATACTGTACTATGACATTTTTTGACATACTATATTATGACTTTTTCAACATAATATACTGACATTTTTTGACGTCTTATTACTTTTTTCGACATAAGACGTTTTTCAACATGCTGTATTATCACTTTTTTTGACATACTATACTGACTTTTTTGACATACTGTATTATGACATTTTTCGACATGACTTTCTGACATACTATACTATTATGTTTTTCAACATACTATATTATGACTTTTTCCAGCAAACTATACTGACATTTTTCAACATTCTTTATTATGACATTTTTCGACAAACTATACTATCACCTTTTTCGACATACTGTACTGACGTTTTTTGACATACTATACTTTTCGTTTTTCGAAATACTTATTACTTTTTCCGAAATATGACCATTTTGCGACACTAATATGACGTGTTTCGACATACTGAATTATGACTTTTTTGACAAACTATATTATGACTTTTTTCGACATACTATACTATTATGTTTTTTGACATGCTGTCTTATTACTTTTTCCGACATATAACCTTTTTACGACACTGTAATATAACGTTTTTCGACATGCTGTATTATGACGTTTTTCGACATGGATTATGACTTTGTTTTCGACATTCTGTACTATGAAATTTCTTGATGTACTGTTGTGACTTTTTGACACAATATGCTATGACATTTTTCGACGTATTGTCTTATTACTTTTTTCGACATAAGACGTTTTTCAACATACTGTGTTATGACATTTTTCGACATTTTTATGACTTTTTTCGACATACTGTGTTAAGACTTTTTCGACATACTGTATTATGGCTTTTTACGACATGCTTATACTGATGTTTTTTGACATTCTTTATTATGACATTTTTGGACAAACTACACTATGACGTTGCTCAACATACTGTACAGCTGTTTTTCGACATACTGTATTATGACGATTTCGACATTCTATACTATGACGTTTTTTTTATAAACTACTATGGCATTTTTCGACATAGTGTCTTATGACTTTTTTCGACATACTATAAAATGACGTTTTTCGACATACTATACTATGACGTTTTTCAACATACTGTACTATGAAGTTTTTTAACATACTATACTATGAAGGTTTTGGACATACGATACTATGACGTTTTTCGATATACTGTATTATGACATTTTTCGACATACTATACTATTACGTTTTTGGACATACTATACTATGATGTTTTTGGACATGCTGTATTATGACTTTTTCAACATACTATACTATGACGTTTTTCAACATACTGTATTATGACGTTTTTGGACATACTATACTATGACGTTTTTCGACATACTATACTATAACTTTTTTGGACATACTTTACTATGATGTTTTTCGACATACTTTATTAAGACGTTTTTCAACATACTATACTATGACGTTCGACATACTATACTATGACGTTTTTGGACATGCTGTATTTTGACTTTTTTCAACATGCTATACTATGACATTTTTCGACATACAGTATTATCACTTTTTTCGACATACTATACTATGACGTTTTTGGACATGCTATATTTTGACTTTTTTTGACACACTATACTATGACGTTTGTCGACATACTTTATTAAGACTTTTTTCAACATACTATACTACGACGTTTTTGGACATGCTATATTTTTACTTTTTTTGACATACTATACTATGATGTTTTTCGACATCCTATACTATGACGTTTTTTGATAAACTACTATGGCGTTTTTCGACATAGTGTCTTATGACTTTTTTCGACATACTATAACTTTTTTGGACATACTTTACCATGACGTTTTTGGACATACTATACTATGATGTTTTTGGACATGCTATATTATGACTTTTTCAACATACTGTACTATGACGTTTTTCGACATACTATACTATGTTGTTTTTGGAAATGCTGTATTTTGACTTTTTTCAACATACTATACTATGACGTTTTTCGACATACTATACTATGAAGTTTTTGGACATACTATGACGTTTTTGGACATACTATACAATGACGTTTTTCGACATACTTTATTAAGACTTTTTCCAACATGCTATACTATGACGTTTTTCGAAATGCTGTATTATGACTTTTTTCGACATACTATACTATGACGTTTTTGGACATACTATACTATGACATTCTTCAACATACTTTATTAAGACTTTTTTCAACATACTATACTATAACTTTTTTGGACATACTATACTATGACATTTTTGGACATGCTGTATTATGACTTTTTTTAACATACGATATGACGTTTTTCGACATGCTGTATTATGACTTTTTTGGACATACCATACTATGACGTTTTTGGTCATACTTTACTATGATGTTGTTGGACATACCATACTATGACGTTTTTGGTCGTACTTTACTATGATGTTGTTGGACATACCATACTATGACGTTTTTGGACATACTTTACTATGATGTTTTTGGACATACCATACTATGACGTTTTTGGACATACTTTACTATGATGTTTTTGGACATACCATACTATGACGTTTTTGGACATACCATACTATGACGTTTTTGGACATACTATACTATGATGTTTTTGGACATACTATACTATGACGTTTTTGGACATGCTGTATTATGACTTTTAACATACGATACTATGACGTTTTTCGACATGCTGTATTATGACTTTTTTGGACATACCATACTATGACGTTTTTGGACATACTATACTATGCTGTTTTTGGACATACCATACTATGACGTTTTTGGACATACTATACTATGATGTTTTTGGACATACTATACTATGACGTTTTTGGACATGCTGTATTATGACTTTTAACATACGATACTATGACGTTTTTCGACATGCTGTATTATGACTTTTTTGGACATACCATACTATGACGTTTTTGGACATACTATACTATGATGTTTTTGGACATACTATACTATGACGTTTTTGGACATACTATACTATGATGTTTTTGGACATACTATACTATGCTGTTTTTGGACATACCATACTATGACGTTTTTGGACATACTATACTATGATGTTTTTGGACATACTATACTATGACGTTTTTGGACATGCTGTATTATGACTTTTAACATACGATACTATGACGTTTTTCGACATGCTGTATTATGACTTTTTTGGACATACCATACTATGACGTTTTTGGACATACTATACTATGATGTTTTTGGACATACTATACTGTGATGTTTTTGGACATGCTGTATTATGACTTTTAACATACGATACCATGACGTTTTTCGAAATGCTGTATTATGACTTTTTTCAACATACGATACTATGACGTTTTTTGACATGCTGTATTATGACTTTTTTGAACATACCATACTATGATGTTTTTGGACATATTTTACTATGATGTTTTTGGACATACCATACTATGACGTTTTTGGACATGCTGTATTATGACTTTTAACATACGATACCATGACGTTTTTCGAAATGCTGTATTATGACTTTTTTCAACATACGATACTATGACGTTTTTCGACATGCTGTATTATGACTTTTTTGGACATACCATACTTTGACGTTTTTGGACATACTATACTATGACGTTTTTGGACATGCTGTATTATGACTTTTAACATACGATACCATGACGTTTTTCGAAATGCTATATTATGACTTTTTTCAACATACGATACTATGACGTTTTTTGACATGCTGTATTATGACTTTTTTGGACATACCATACTATGACGTTTTTGGACATACTTTATTGAGACTTTTTTCAACATACTATACCATAACTTTTTCGGACATACTTTACGATGACGTTTTTCGACATACTATACTATGACGTTTTTGAACATGCTGTATTATGACTTTTTCGACATACTATACTATGACTTTTTTCTACATACTGTATTATGATGTTTTTGGACATACCATACTATGACGTTTTTGGACATACTATACTATGACGTTTTTCGACATACTTTATTGAGACTTTTTTCAACATACTATACCATAACTTTTTTGGACATACTTTACGATGACGTTTTTCGACATACTATACTATGATGTTTTTGAACATGCTGTATTATGACTTTTTCGACATACTATACTATGACATTTTTCAACATACTGTATTATGACGTTTTTCAACATACTATACAATGACGTTTTTGAACATGCTGTATTATGACTTTTTCGACATACTATACAATAACGTTTTTCAACATACTGTATTATGACGTTTTTCAACATACTATACTATGACGTTTTTGGATATGCTGTATTATGACTTTTTCGACATACTATACTATGACGTTTTTCAACATACTGTATTATGACGTTTTTCGACATACTATACTATGACGTTTGTCGACATACTTTATTAAGACTTTTTTCAACATACTTTACTATGATGTTTTTGGACATACTATACTATGACGTTTGTCGACATACTTTAAGACTTTTTTCAACATACTATACTATGACGTTCGACATACTTTACTATGATGTTTTTGGACATACTGTATTATGACTTTTTTCGACATACTATACTGTGACGTTTTTTGATAAACTACTATGACTTTTCTCAACATACTGTATTATGACTTTTTTCGACATACTATACTGTGATGTTTCTCGACATGCTGTAGTATGACTTTTTCGACATACTATACTGTGACGTTTTTGGACATGCTGTATTATGACTTTCGACATACTATACTATGACGTTTTTCAACATACTGTATTATGGCGTTTTTCGACATACTATACTATGACGTTTTTCAACATACTGTATTATGGCGTTTTTCGACATACTATACTGTGACATTTTTGGACATGCTGTATTATGACTTTCGACATACTATACTATGACGTTTTTCAACATACTGTATTATGGCGTTTTTCAACATACTATGACATTTTTCGACATACTATACTATTACGTTTTTGGACATACTGCATTTTGACTTTTTCGACATACTTTATTAAGACTTTTTTCAACATACTTTACTATGATGTTTTTGGACATGCTGTATAATGACTTTTTCAACATACCGTGTTAAGACTTTTTTTGACATGACGTTTTTCGACATACTATACTATGACATTTTTTCAACATACTGTATTATGACTTTTTTCGACATACTATACAATGACGTTTTTTGACATAACATCCAATGTTTTTCGACATATCAACTACGACATTTTTTGACATACTATATTATTACTTTTTTTGCATATTGTACTATGCCGTTTTTCAATGCTATACTATGACATTTTTCGACATACCACAATATGACTTTTTTCAATATAATATACTATGTCATTTTTCAACATACTATACCATTACTGTGTCTGAAATCACATACGTCCGTGAGTACACTTCAATGTAGTATACTATGTGCACTTTGTACTTATTGGCGTAGTGCGCGAATTTCGACAGGGTAGTGCTGTTTCAAAACAAACGCAGCCGTTGTGCACTCACTGGAATTGACGACCGCAAATTAGCTAGTTAGCAAACTAGCATTAGCGTCATCGTTTGCAGTACCAAATCTTTACAGACTGCAAATTAACCCAATAAACATACTGCTGGCTTTTACCCAACAACAGTACAGTGGTGCTTAGTGCAAAAAACACATGTATTTGTACAATGCAGCAACGCTCACGATCACAGTCCTCTGCCGCCATTTCCTTTTGAAAAGTGGTCCCTCCCCTTCCTCTATGTAGCCAAGATGTGTCCACATGAGTACCATCCGGTTACTCATAGTACACTGTACTTTTCCATACTTCTCAGTGTGAACAAACTTATGCACTCAAAATATTAAGTGTAAGTACAGAAGTACGAGATCTGACACACAGCACATGACTTTTTCCTAAATACTATGACATTTGTATCCATTTTTTCGACATACTATATGACTTTTTTTCGCCATACTACACTATGACTTATTCGATATGCTATACTATGTTTTTCGACACACTATACTTTTTTCGACATACTATACTATGCCGTTTCTCAATATTACAGACATGCATACTGTAACATTTTCAACATGCTATACTATGACGTTTTTCAACATGCTATGGTAGCTACTAAGCTACGTTCACATATAGTTTAACTATGTATATTTCATCTTTAAAGTCAGTTTTTAATGAAAATTCATCAGTTGTGTATTTTTTTGAAAACTGTTTCTCATCAGTTTATTGAGTCAAAAACTTCACAGAAAAACAAAATTAAACATGTTTAACAGTCCGACCCTAGAATTGATAATAAAATATCTGAGGAAAGGAGGTGGCGTAACGTTCAAAGACACTTCAACATTTGATCATATGTTGCTGAATCAAACATTTAGCAAGAAAATACGGAGGGAAAACACAAGATCTGTCTTTCATCATCGTCTTCAGCAGGGACAGCGTCAATCTCAAACGCCATGTCCATTTTAACACCTGCTACATTTTGTCAGACCAATCAGAAAAGTTTTAGATTAAATAAATTTGAGGATGACGCAAACAGTCCAGTTCTCTGCAGGGTCCTCTTCAGTCCTGATCCCTGATGGATCTCCGAGTGCGGATCAACTTATCCAGTCCTTAAAAAACTGCAGCAGGATAAAAACAAGGTCCAGATCTGGGTTCGGGTCCAGGTGCGTCTGGTTACCTAGATGGACTCGATCTGGCGGCGGACCTTCTCGGAGGCCAGGCGGTCGAGCCAGCGTTGACGGACGACCACCAGGATAGCAAAGATGGCCGTCAGAGCCAACATGGCTGCCTCGAACTTCCAGAAGAGATGTTCTTCCATCACTGCGGAGCGACAGCTAGACAGGAAGGAGTGGGGGGGGCAGTAAAGAAAACCGTTAACAACCGTGCAGTAAATAAACGTCATAAAGTGCAGTAAATAAACATCATAAAGTGCAGTAAATAAACTCAGTAAAGTGCAGTAAATAAATTCAGTAAAGTGCAGTAAATAAACGCAGCAAAGTGCGGTAAATAAACTCAGTAAAGTGCGGTAAATAACGCAGTAAAGTGCGGTAAATAAACGCAGTAAAGATCAGTAAATAAACACAGTAAAGTGCGGTAAATAAACGCAGTTAAGTGCGGTAAATAAACTCAGTAAAGTGCAGTAAATAAACGCAGTAAAGTGCGGTAAATAAACGCAGTAAAGTGCGGTAAATAGACGTAGGAAAGTGCACTAAATAAACTCAGTAAAGTGCGGTAAATAAATGCAGTAAAGTGCGGTAAATAAACTCAGTAAAGTGCGGTTAAAAAAAACGTAGGAAAGTGCACTAAATAAATTCAGTAAAGTGCAATAACTAAACTCAGTAAAGTGCGGTAAATAAACTCAGTAAAGTGCAGTAAATAAACGCAGAAAAGATCTGTAAATAAACGCAGTAAAGATCAGTAAATAAACACAGGAAAGTGCGGTAAATAAACGCAGTAAAGTGCGGTAAATAAACGCAGTAAAGTGCAGTAAATAAACTCAGTGAAGTGCAGTAAATAAACTCAGTAAAGTGTGGTAAATAAACGTAGGAAGGTGCACTAAATAAATTCAGTAAAGTGCGGTAAATAAATTCAGTAAAGTGCGGTAAATAAATTTAGTAAAGTGAAGTAAATTCTGACCTCTTGTACTCATCTCTGTTGGTTTTGGTGCAGTTGACTCTCTCCACGTATCCCGTCAGCGTGCACGATGACCACGACCTCTGAAACACGAAAACATCATCAGAACCACTGCGGTTGTCATGGTAACAACACCGTAACAACACCATTTACAAAACAACCCCCAGTGGGTCTTTAAACATCCTTACGGTCTGGAAGGCATTACACGGCGAACACTCCACCGTCACCACAAACTCCTCCAGCAGCCAGCAGGGGGCAACCACCTGTTTCACTGCTGCAAGGGAAGAAGAAGAAGGTCAAAGGTTAAATTAATTTTTTATTTTCCCCTGGAGTGCTTGCTGCTGATCAGTTAGTACCTGTAGTTTTTTCTTCGCTCAGCAGGGCAGCGCCAAACACCCTGAAATACAACACATCAACACGTCAAACATCAGACTGACCCCTGACCTCGGCGTAGACTGACCTATGATCTCAGCATACTGACTGACCTGAGGGAGACGAGGCCCCAGAACAGAGCGTGGAGGACAAGTACTCGAGGCCTACAACACGCCACAGGGATCCGACAGTCGCTCTCCATCAGCCTGCTCCTCCACCAGGACGACACCAGAGCCACCCTGACACTGTGAGACTGGTTACTGACTGTTTATGACCAGTTACTGTTTCTGGCTGTTTCTGATTCTGACTGTTTCTGATTCTGACTCTGTTGCTGATTCTGTTTCTGATTCTGACTCTGTTTCTGATTCTGACTGTTACAGTTTCTGACTGTAAATGTTTCAGACTGCTACTGTCTGCTCTCTGATTCACAGCTGTCCATCCACCAGTCTACATGGTGATCTTACAGGAAGTGTTTTAAGGCTCCAGGCTGCTGAAACCTGAAAGATGAAACAGACCAATCAGTATGTGTACATTAACACATGTGCATATATGTCACATTTATGTTTAGTTGACATTTGGTTAATGTTTGGATTATGTCGGGTTAATGTCAGGTAAACGTAAAGTTAACATTTATTTAACATCAGGTTAATGCTCGTTTAACATTAGGCTGATGTTTGGATAACACCAGTTTAACATCAGGTTAGCATTTGATTAATGTCAGGTATTTGTTGTTGACCTGATGATGACGTCACAGCGCTGAGACGAAGTATACACATATGACTATTGTCACACAAGTATGCTGCCAGATATTAATACATACTTTCAACATATTGTACCACAGTAGCCAGAACTATAACTATAATATTATTACTTTAAATAATGTTGTTGTAAGCTACTGTTATTACCTGCATCTCTCTCTGTCTCTCTCTCTCTCTCTCTCTCTGTCTCTCTCTCTGTCTCATTGTGTCATACAGATTACTGTTAATTTATTATGTTGATCTGTTCTGTACGACATCTATTGCACGTCTGTCCGTCCTGGAAGAGGGATCCCTCCTCAGTTGCTCTTCCTGAGGTTTCTACCGTTTTTTTTCCCCGTTAAAGGGGTTTTTTGGGGAGTTTTTCCTGATCAGCTGTGAGGGTCATAAGGACAGAGGGATGTCGTATGCTGTAAAGCCCTGTGAGGCAAATTGTGATTTGTGATATTGGGCTTTATAAATAAAATTGATTGATTGATTGTAGGTTTAAAGGTTTGTAACATCAGAAACTTTGACACAGAAGAGGTCGACTGATTTTGGCAAAAAAAAAAAAAAAGAATAAACGAAATGAAATCAAATGTTTGATAAAGACCTCGTAGATAAATTAGACCTTCGGATTATTTACTGAATTTTAAAGCCCAATATTTATTAACCTGAATTTAAGACATTTAAAGAGACCCACAACAAAGATAGCAGGCGTTAGCAGGGCAGCTAACAAGCTAACAGAGCTAATCACGCGATTGTTGACTTTTTACCAAATGTAATAGTTACTGACGTCACACTGACGGTGTGACGTCAGTAACTATTAAATGTGAAATATGACCTATTAATCTAAGGGTAATTGATGACGTTTAGCGTCTCGCGGAGGTGAAACGCTCCAGCTGTTTACCTGCTAATGCTAACAGTTAGCCTGTTAACGCTGCGTTTACCAACTGATGCATGATTAGCTGACGTTAGCTAGCTTTTAGCTCCGCAGGGGCCTGAACACTCACCGTAAACAGCCGCCATTTAAAGATCACCGCTGCCGGCTGGAACAGAGAGGAAGAGGAGACCGGTAACAATAACGGACACAAACTGACCGGTGAATGTACCGATGAGCGGAGAGCTGACTGATCTACCGACAGTGACCGAGTATGTCCGCAGATTCGACACCAAGAGCTAGCGTAGCATCATACTTCCGGGATAGCTTTTTCATAATAAAAGCGTTCCTTAGAAAATTGTTTCGTTCAGTTAGGTGTGAGTGATTAGGGGGCGGTATCAGGGCAACAGAGATTTAAATAAAAATTATCAGGACGCCACTGTTCCTCTGCAGGCCGCCATCTTCTCAAACATGAATGAATCAACTTTATTTTGAAGGCCAAAGTGCGTCACTTTCTGTTTCCTGCGACTGCTAACGCAGCCTTGAGATGTAAACGCAAACTGTGGCGTTGACTGCTACTACGGAACGCCGAAGGGACCAAAATGTCTAATTCGACGTCCGTCTTAAGACGTCAGATTTAAGATGACAGAAAATGCCGTGCTAACACGTCAGTTTAATTGGGTGCTACCACTTCGTGTATTTCTGAGGGGGGGCCCTTCTGAGGGCCTAAAGACAAGAATCTTTGCAAGAGAGAAAACACTCAGCCTCACGTTACCTGGAAGCCTTTGAACTGAGATTAATAAGAAATAATATTAATTAACGGTGACATTATGAACAGTGTGCATTTTTAGTAGGTCACTGGTTAGTGTGACACCAGTGGTGATTGCTCTAAGACTGCAAGGGAAGCTCAGCTTTCCCTAAAATGTCAAAAAATAAGTGGTCAAATATGTACTGTTGTGTTTACATTTCATTGACTAATTATGTTTTAGAACGCGTTCAACTTTTGTTCAGTATCAGCTACTTATCACAGGTCACTGACGCGACTTTCTTCTCATTCATTCCCGTAGCGTCACAGTGCATTAAACAGTGGAAGCTCAGCGTCCAAAGACTTCAATGGGGAAGCATAGAGTGGGTTGTTCTACTGCAGCGAAACTAGACAGTCATTGGATAAATGCTCAGTTTTGTCCCGCCCATCGGACGCTCAGCGTCTCTGGGGGTCTGTGGGGCAGTGGGCTGGCCTCGGCTGGCCTGGACGCTGGGCTTCTGCATGATGATTGGATGATCTGTCTGAGGCTGAATCCTTTTTTGATTGACAGCGAAATGAGCGAATCAGCGTTCTTGAAATATAAAACACCTCCGGAGCATTTTTCAAGTTTCATTCTGTTGTTCCGAGTTGATCTGGAGACTTTTCCAATCTTCTTAGTGACTTTTTGTTTGTTAAAAACGACTAGCGACAAATCTAGCATCTTTTTTTGTTGTTACTGGAGACTGTACTCGTGTTTGGAGACTCTGACTTCTGTTGCCCTGCAGTTACTGTCCCCAACGAGCAGTGGGTGCTGCTGTGAGCTCCTCCACCGTCCCAAAGCACTCACAGGCGGTCACACTAGCCTCGCGCAGCAGCCCCAGAGGGTCGAATTTACGTATAAATAAACGGACACATTTTATGATGTAGGCCGAAAATGAGCTTCCCCTCCTTGAAAGACCAGCAGCCGCCACTGTGTGACACATAGGGTATTTATGTAGTGACATTATTTTATGCATATGATATCGATTGTGTTTCTTTACAGACACCATACAGATGCCCCCACACACACACACACATACTCAATGTAAAGCATAACTGATTTGAGTAAAAGCACGAGAGCAGATCTGGGTATATAAACGGTTGGTTCTAGTGAAGAGCAGCAACACCACCGTTTGTTTTCATTTATTCTTTCAGAATAAGACCATCCCTCGGTGTGACTTGTGGGTGCAACAGTTATCCTACTTGTTGAGAAAACAATAAGTGATGATGTCATCATCTAGGCTACCTGTAACAAAGGGCCCACGAGGCGGGCAGCACTGTGTGTGTGAGGATCATGTTCTTTTATTTCTCTAGTGCCTTCAACACCATAGCCTACAGCCCACACTGGGGAGACAAACTATAATCAGTGCAGGTGCCCCCCCCCCCTGGTGAATTGGATTACAGATGACTTGACTGGCAGACCACAGTACAATAGGCTTCACGACTGTCAGAGAAACTAGGCAGTAACACTTGAGCACCCCAAGGGACTGTGCTGTCTTCCTCACCATGATAAAAGTTGAATACATTCAGTAAATGTACGACCACAGTTGTTGACAAAGTTTCTGGATGCCATTCCTTGCTCTCCTCAGACATCACCAGCACACCCCCTTCATAGAAATGGACTGTCCCAAATACTAATCATAAGACACGTCACAGGTACGTAGGCAAAATGTACCCTCTACCAAGAGACCACATGACCACAACGAAGAAACACGTACAGCCCAACGCAACCTCTACATCAAAAGTGGGTGGAGCATGGAAGCCTTACATCAAAAGGGGGTGGGTATATTAATGCCAACCAATGGCAATGGACCAAACATCTTAAGATGATAAAAACTGACCTTTTAACACGACATTTTCTGTCGTCTTAAGAGGTACACATTTGACGTCTTAAGACGGACGTTGAATTAGATGTTTTGGTCCATAGCCATCTTGGTACAGTGCTGCTCGCTCCTACGGCGCATTACGTCTACAGAGGAATCACGTGTTTGCACTATTAAAGTGATCATAAATCACTCAATTGTCAACATATGTCCATGCAGGTTGTTGGTTTCAAACGTCAGACAGATACAGACAGACAGACAGATACAGACAGACAGTTACAGACAGACAGACAGACAGTTACAGACAGACAGACAGTTACAGACAGACAGACAGACAGACAGATACAGACAGACAGACAGATACAGACAGACAGACAGACAGATACAGACAGACAGACAGACAGTTACAGACAGACAGACAGACAGACAGATACAGACAGACAGTTACAGACAGACAGACAGACAGATACAGACAGACAGTTACAGACAGACAGACAGACAGACAGACAGATACAGACAGACAGTTACAGACAGACAGACAGATACAGACAGACAGACAGACAGTTACAGACAGACAGACAGACAGTTACAGACAGACAGACAGACAGACAGATACAGACAGACAGTTACAGACAGACAGACAGACAGATACAGACAGACAGTTACAGACAGACAGACAGACAGATACAGACAGACAGTTACAGACAGACAGACAGACAGACAGACACATACAGACAGACAGTTACAGACAGACAGACAGATACAGACAGACATAGAACAAAAAGAACCCAGAAAACGTTCAAATGTGTTCAGGTCTTTATGTAGAGACTTGCTTGTAGGGTATATATTGCTATTATCATTATCAATTTGTTATTATTGCTATTATTACTGTAGGTCTAAAATCAGCTGTCTCTACCCTTTGTGAACAGCAGCCCGTCAGTCTGCAGGATCTTACAGGATCCATCACATGCTGTTATTTGTTTGAGTGTACATACTATTAACTGGTCACTCACTGCAGTCTAAGGTCTGTTTATAGATGAAATAACGTTGTATTTTAACCGAAATTGTGTCTCAAACGAGTTATTTCACCAGTAAGCAGCTGTCTAATACGTGGGATTGTCTGCTGTAAAACTGGCATTTTTGAAATGACCAAGCGTCCTGTGTCATAGCCACATCTGTGACGTTTTTAACTAATCGGTCGAAACTTCAGTGAATAATTCTAGGAGTACCTCTGACCTCTGTAGATGTACATGCACGACCACCTCTGCTGGTCCTGTATCAAAATGGCGGCGCTTTAGGCACGCCCCGCCACGGTCAATGCGGCGTCTGTGTATATATGTCTATGTATATATGTCTGTGTACATATGTCTATGTATATATGTCTGTGTACATATGTCTATGTATATGTCTATGTATATATGTCTGTGTACATATGTCTATGTATATATGTCTGTGTACATATGTCTATGTATATGTCTATGTATATATGTCTGTGTACATATGTCTATGTATATATGTCTGTGTACATATGTCTATGTATATGTCTATGTATATATGTCTGTGTACATATGTCTATGTATATATGTCTGTGTACATATGTCTATGTATATGTCTATGTATATATGTCTGTGTACATATGTCTATGTATATATGTCTGTGTACATATGTCTATGTATATGTCTATGTATATATGTCTGTGTACATATGTCTATGTATATATGTCTGTGTACATATGTCTATGTATATGTCTATGTATATATGTCTGTGTACATATGTCTATGTATATATGTCTGTGTACATATGTCTATGTATATGTCTATGTATATATGTCTGTGTACATATGTCTATGTATATATGTCTGTGTACATATGTCTATGTATATGTCTATGTATATATGTCTGTGTACATATGTCTATGTATATATGTCTGTGTACATATGTCTATGTATATGTCTATGTATATATGTCTGTGTACATATGTCTATGTATATATGTCTGTGTACATATGTCTATGTATATGTCTATGTATATATGTCTGTGTACATATGTCTATGTATATATGTCTGTGTACATATGTCTATGTATATGTCTATGTATATATGTCTGTGTACATATGTCTATGTATATATGTCTGTGTACATATGTCTATGTATATGTCTATGTATATATGTCTGTGTACATATGTCTATGTATATATGTCTGTGTACATATGTCTATGTATATGTCTATGTATATATGTCTGTGTACATATGTCTATGTATATATGTCTGTGTACATATGTCTATGTATATGTCTATGTATATATGTCTGTGTACATATGTCTATGTATATATGTCTGTGTACATATGTCTATGTATATGTCTATGTATATATGTCTGTGTACATATGTCTATGTATATATGTCTGTGTACATATGTCTATGTATATGTCTATGTATATATGTCTGTGTACATATGTCTATGTATATATGTCTGTGTACATATGTCTATGTATATGTCTATGTATATATGTCTGTGTACATATGTCTATGTATATATGTCTGTGTACATATGTCTATGTATATGTCTATGTATATATGTCTGTGTACATATGTCTATGTATATATGTCTGTGTACATATGTCTATGTATATGTCTATGTATATATGTCTGTGTACATATGTCTATGTATATATGTCTGTGTACATATGTCTATGTATATG